CCAGACACCAGGCGTATTTGTGACATGGGTCGAGCGAGATCAACTCGTGTACGTCCAGGTCGTGCAGAGCCATCAGGACTTCAGCGCGCAATGAACAGTACAGCGCGTTACCGCTCTGCAGGTAACCAGTGCGGATGTACTGCAGCACACGATCGTAGAGTACCACGTTCCTTCCGACCATCGTCACCAGACGTTGCACCTCTTTACACTGACGCCTAGATTTGCCGATGCCAGAGAAAAACACCGACGACACGGTGTCCAGCTGACGCAGAGGTTGTAGCTTTGCATGTAGATAGTCAACGATTGTACGATTCACCTCTTCGGCGAACCGTTCCTCAGACAACTGCCAGATCTGCTGCTTCACCTGTGTCGCAACCTCTGAGTACAAGTCCGAGTCTTCGGTGATTTTACTCAACAGGTCGGCCGGCACCTCTTTCAGTTGCTGCAACGCTTTGAGCAAGATCGGGCGCAGGAATGGAACCTTTACCAGTGGAAAGTACTTCTGCAACAGCGTTACGAGACTGTCGTCGATTTTAGACTTGGCATTCGGTTCGCCGCCACCCAATCGGTCGAGTAGTTCCAGCATGCGCTCTCGGATGTCCTGGAAAACCGTCTCGTGGTAATCGAAGCGAGGGATTTCGTGCAGATCTAGTAACCGCATAGCCGGCGCCAGAGACGGCAGCTGCACGGAATTGTTAGTCTGAAACTGCTGAATGGCTTCGATCGGGTCGCTGCATGTCGTCAGCAAATTTCGAAGCGCAGAAGGTCCCGCAATACTGAATTTCTCAAGTCCGTCCATTGCCGAGCTTTCGGACTTCGATACACTTGAAGAGAACATCTGTGAAGTATATCCAATGGGAATTCTAAATTACATAGTCAGAATAAAAACAAACAAACGTCAATATCGACAAAGCCGCAGAAGCAACGCGTTTACTGCTCCGGTCATCAAACAAAAGGTTTCTGCATACGCTAAAAGGCCCCCTGATTTCGTCTTTTCTTTTTCTGTTCTACACCGGTGATCTCAGCGCAAACCCTCTCACTACAACTGTAAATAATGACACTTCACTTCTTATTCATCAAATACAACCCGTTTGAATTTCATCCGAAATATATTCTTCCGAGTCAATGATAAAAATATCTGGACATAAGCCATCTAAATTAGAATACGAAAAATCTTGTTTGCATACACACGTGATCTTTCTTCCAAAATTAATGGCGATAAAAGGGAACGCTAAACTCGATAAAATATCTTCGAATCATATCGAAGGTTTAACTACAAATGAGGAAAACACTGATTCGCTGCTGGTTGGAGTAACAGCTAAACCTTTCCGCTTCTCTATACACGGTTTAAAGGAACGACGATGTGTAAACCTTCAGCTGCACACCAGCGTTATTATCAGTGTAACAAGCGAACTATACCTTTTGATCGCCCTATGTGAAGATTTCTCTTAATCAGATCATGTGAAACCTGATAAAACACTTACACCACATGTTCGCTTGAGGTAACGGGGCGAGGGTACGAAGATGTACTCGGCACCTGTTCGTAAAACAGTGCATTTCTGAGACTTGTTGACTCCGTCCTCGAGACATAAGGCTCTATTCCATTGCAGATAAGAGAAACCGTCCACAGAAGATGTGGCATACCCAAGCTCAATGGGGAAAACTTCATGCCAGACAAGCTTCGCAGTACCATCGCCTGGAAGCTTGTTCGGTCGGGTGAAGGGCAAATGGACGCGTTCTGTCCAAGACGCCTGGTGGGCGGGGATACAGTAGCCAAAACCATATGCCAAGATCGAAAGAAATGGAAACACCACCAAAATCGCCTCTGGTCTTCTACGTACACCTTCAGTCAGATTACCTCGCAGGACTAACGACGACCGACAGATTCCAGCAGTGACATAGGTTCGAAAAGGAGCGACGAGAAAAAAGAAAGACATGGAAATTTTAGGTGACAAATCGCACGATACAGACAAGCCTGGATAGAGACCAGGCAAAGGTTATTTTGTTAAGTCCCAAGAAGAATCTGTCCACTGCTGTCAACTGCCATTGTGTCCCCATGTTTTTACCCTGGATTCTCAAAACTGATCTTTACATACTGCGCCAAGTCCGTAAGTTGGTAGCAACACGTAGTAATTGCCAACAAATTTAGTAAAGATTACGGTTTATTTATAAACAGTGAAAATAATACGGTCAATCGGATGCTGTAGTCAGCAACGAGTGCACGCAATGCTTTCTTTAGAAGATGAATACAGAAAAACGCCGGCTATCAGTGCTTACTCCGGAATTATATTTACAATATTTAAAATTTTTTTCTGGAACAGCGCCACAGTACAAAGTACGACTGATTCTGTTTTAGTCCCCATTAATCGATCAGCTGATCGATTGTTTACCAGATTTAAAACAGATTTTCATTTTCAAAACATTTCAGGGTAGTATACAGAATTAAATACTCACTGCTGTTGGATAATTATACTAATCACCAGCCTTGTTCCTTGCGAGGAGTTACTAATGTTTAAAAGCACCCGTAAACGACTGCTACTTTACGCCTGCATTTTAGGACAACGATTTCCTTAAGCAGTACTCACTGACTATCATCAATATCAAATCAGGAACTGAACTGACACATGCTGATATAGAGCAGTCAGAGAATCTTATGCTAGCTTAGTATCTGTGATTAATTACTCAACTGATAACTGCAATGGCAAAGCAACACACTCCACTGCCCTTCGTGTTGGGACGCGATGCCTCAGTGCCCATTCCATGATATGAATCCTGAACATAAATCTCTGAAGAAAGAACTTAAGGGCAACTGTCGTTAATCACTTTTGTTAAATACATGCAATATTATGTTCCCACAGTAAATCAGTGACCGCAAAACAAGATAC